CACAACGTTCATCACCATTAGCTCATTTTCTAACGCAATTTTATTGTCATTTTTAAAATAAAGTTATTTTGTTATTAATTATTTCTGTTTTCCTTTTCAGGTAAGTTTTGTTCTGCGTTTTCTCCATTTCTTTGTAGGTATTTAAATTAAGTTTAAAGTTTAAATTAATTTAACAATTGATTTCCGAAATATATTTCAATCGTTGAGGTTTCAACATATAAGTTCTGTATATTCCCATCCTAGTTAAGTTACCTTGACAAATTATAGATTGTATGATTTGCACACCCCTTTAAATCATGACACAACTGACCTCTTTTTTATTTGTCACAATCCGAAAAATACTAAAATCTGACATTGTGGCATTTTCTTCGAAGTTTATTAAATTGCATTACATCAGCTATATATATATATATGTCACAATGTGCGTGTATGTGGGTGTGTGTGAAGCAGTAGAGAAATGCTCTATATAGCAGTTGATTGCACTTCCTTTAGATTCCCAGTAGATATGCAGGCATACACACACATAAACATATATACTAGTTACTCTTTGATTTCCTCAGTGTCATCTGGGTGAGAAATGTGAGTTGTTGCTGTTGTAAATACTCTCAAATTAGCTTGAAGGAGTGCTTAGCCATTCAAACACCCGAACGCCCCCTACATTCCATTTGAAAAGTAAAAAAAAAGTAACACACACATACATATGTAAGTAGGTACGCCAACAAACCCACTACGGTTATGTTGTATTACCCCTTTTGGGGTGCAAACCAAAACATGTCGTCAAGCCATGGCAACTTGTTGAATAAATTGCCAAAGCAAAAGAAAACGAAATGTGAAAGCAAACACCAACGTCAAGAGCCACAGTAATAAAAACAACACCAACAACAGCAACAGCGTAAACAACTACGATGTGTAAATGGTGACATCGTCTTGAAATAGAATCCCATTTACACCCAGTTTTGTTATAAATGAACTAAGAAATGACCTTTGAATGCTACGGAGAATGATTGGTTGTTTTTTTTCTTCACTTCAACTATTTCCACTAGTTTTTATTTCCGATAAAGATTTACCAAGTCTTTGCGGGTGTGTAAACTGGGCTGATCTGGGATTGTGTTGATATAACAACGGTAACGTTTTTTTAGTTGTTGTAATAGAGGTTGATGTATAAGGCGTTACTTGTTCTTCGAACAACACCTTGTCATCGATTCTAATAAAATTTAATTTTGAGTCATAAAAGAAGGAGGTCAAAGAGGTGGTAGAGTAAGGGATGGCAATGTAAGACTATGATACTTGCACATAGTCCAGGTGAACATAAGAATTGTCGAAGGCATTGCAAATGACCATAAAGCTAATATAGTTTATGGTGGATGATTATAAGGGTAATATATCTTAATAGACTCTGAGAAAATGGTTAAAAAATCTACGGCTTAACAATCTTTGAAAAAATAGCTATAAAACCCACGACTCAGCAGTCTTTGAAAATAAAAAAATATATATTTTCATAAATTCACGCCTCAGCAGTCTTTGAAAAAAAAAAACAGTAAGGAAAGTAGCAAAGTCGGACTGGGCCTACTATATGATACCCTTCACCACTTTGGGCCGAAACTATATATGGGAGCTACATCTAATTCTAAACCGATTTTCACGAAACTTAGCACACGTCATTCTAGACCCAATTCAGTAGGCTATACCAAATTTCGTGCAAATCGAAAGATATATAGGGACTTTGGTACACCATTTACCTAAAATCGGGCGCTATATCTAAATCTGAACCGATTTTCACGAAACTAAGCACACGTCATTCTAGACTAAATTCTATACACTATGTAAAAATTCGACCAAATCAAATGATTTTCAGGGATTTTGGTACACCATTTATCTAAAATCGGGCGAAAATATATATGGGAGCTATATCTAAATCTGAACCGATTTCCACGAAACTTAGCACACATGATTCTAGACCTAATTCAGTAGGCTATACCAAATTTCGTGCAAATCGAAAGATATATAGGGACTTTGGTACACCATTTACCTAAAATCGGCCGAAAATATATATGGGAGCTATATCTAAATCTGGACCGATTTTTCCCAATTTCAATAGGGTTCGTCCTTGGGCCAAATAAGTGAGCTGTGCCAAATTTCATCCAAATCGGATCATAAATGCGACCTGTACTTTGTTTACAATTTAACATCAACAGACGGACGGACGGACGGTAGTCTTTGAAATAAAATATTTTCATAAATTCACGACTCAGCAGTCCTTGAAAAGTCATATTTTCATAAGGAATTATGTCATATCTTTTCGATTCCTTTTGTTAAACATATGCACAAAGACATAATACCCTGTACCACAGTTTGGTGAAGGGTATAAAAATATTTTCATAAATTCACGACTCAGCAGTCCTTGAAAAGTCATATTTTCATAAGTCCAAGTCTCAGCAGTCTTTGAAAAAAATATTTCGTGAAAAAATCTTTTCATAAATCCACGCCTCTTTTAGTCTCGTGAAAAAATCTTTTCATAAATCCACGCCTCTTTTAGTCTCGTGAAAAAATCTTTTCATAAATCCACGCCTCTTTTAGTCTCGTGAAAAAATCTTTTCATAAATCCACGCCCGTTATAGTCTATAGTCCTTGAAAAATATGTTTATAAAATCACGCCTATTATTGTCCTAGAAAAAATATATTCATAATCCACACCTCTAACAAAATAGTTTTATAAATCCACGCCTCTTATTGTTTCTGAAAAAAAAATATTTTTTTAAATCCACACCTTCGATTTTTCATTAAAATGAACATATCATAAAATGTGTATTTGTTGAACCTTGAGAAATAAATATCCAATATAAAACATTTCACCCAGAAAATATTTTTTTATTGTCTTTTTGTATTTTACCTATGTCCATATTCTTCTAAAGGTCATCCAAAGGTGTAGAAGGAAAAAAAAAACTGGGCTTCCAACTTTAGGCGAACATGAAAATTTATACACCCTGTCTACGGATGAAATTCAAAACAAAATAATAAATTCAATATGTTTGAAGTTTTCATCGTTCATGGTTTTTGTTGCTGTTCTTTTGAATTTTCACATAAAGATTTCAGATTGATGTTACTATACCATACATGTGTACATATAAACGTACATATGTTTATATATATGTGTGTATATACATATATTTGTTTATTATTTTAAAATGTTTCAAAGGCAGTCTTCTTTTTTTCTTTGGGGATCGACTAGCCGTTATTTTTTTTATTTGCCTCTAATTTCGTTGTCATATTTCAAACCAAGGGGATTTGGCACAATATCAAAGTTATTCTAATACAAACAAAAAAATCATGTCTTACAGACAGTTCGACAGACAGACAGACAGACGGTGTTTATTTCCTTGGAATACATTTCAAATATATCACGAATAATGAACAACTTTTATTACTTACAATAATCGTTATATAATATGATGCTTTAGCTGAGATTATCTGCGGTTTGGATTTTCTAAAAAATTAGTAGCTTTTTTTAATATATTTTCTAAAAATATATATATATATATTTTTTTGAGACTATCAGTGGCTTGGATTTTCTGAAAAATATTTTTTTCCAAGACTAAAAAAGCCGTAGATTTGTGCAGCCCCAATAGTTTGTAACGCCGCGAAATATTGGTCCTACACCCACCTTTATGTCATATCTCGACTAGCTCTAGATCTAGACATGTGTGTCCGTCCGTGTGTCCACTTTAATTTGTAAACACAATACAGGCCGCAGTTATGGACCAATCTTCACAAAATTTTGCCCAATGAAGACAACTATTGTTTTTAGTAAAGATCGGTTAATATTAAGGGGATGAAATGGACCAAAAACTTTATTTTTCTTTGATTTTCTGGTCGCTCCTCTCATGTTTTCCATGAGGATCCAGGTATGGTCAAGGACAGCGCCAATAATTTTCGGTGATGATCAGATAATAATATTGGTATGAATTGGACCGAAAACTTTTTTTGTTTTTTTTTTTATTTTTTTCGGCCACAATTATAAGTCGAACATCACAATACAACCCACGGTGAAGGGAATATGGACAAGTAATTAGAAGGACTGTACTGAATATTAGTAATATTCGGAAAATATGTCAGTATGTGGAAGAGGTGCTGTTGGTCTCTAATCGGGCAAGGGGGTGCAACTACCACGAAATATATGGCCCAGGCTGGGAATAAATATCCGTAGAAAGTTAGGGTTACGTGGTAGTTGTGCAGGGTATCGTATGGTCGGCCCCGTCCGACTATACTGCTCCGCTCACTGGTTTAAATATACATTTCAAAAGCTACATAAGGCAAGGATTTTTATACCCTACACAACTATGTTGTCAGGGTATTATAGCTTTGTGCAGCCCCAAGAGTTTGTAACGCCGCGAAATATTGGTCCTAGACCTAGCTTTAAGTATACTGATCGTCATATCTCGACTAGCTGAGTCGATCTAGACATGTGTGTCCGTCCGTCTGTCCATTATAATTTGTAAACACGATACAGGCCACAGTTATGGACCAATCTTCACGAAATTTTGCATATAGGATGGGATTTGCCCAATAAAAACCCCTATTGTTTTTGTTAAAGATCGGTTAATATTAAGGGGATGAAATGGACCAAAAACGTTATTTTTCTTTGATTTTCTGGTCGCTCATGGGGCCGCAATTGAGGACCAAACATCGCGAAATTTTACATAGAAAGGGGATTGGGCCGAAGAATAAGCATGTCTGTTTTGATAAAGAACGGTCACTATTTAGCGGGTCAAATGGACCCTGACTTTTGTGTGAAAAATGCAAAATTTGTATTCTATAGCGTATATATTTATCCCTAAATGGCCTAGACCCGAGAAGTTGATAGTATATCCAAGAGGAGTTGTTGACCTTTAAATTGATACCAATTATATTGTCGTTTGTACTCGAATGTGGGAGTTACACTTAAATATTTACAGGTGCTTATGTATTCAGATATTATTTAGTAACCCATTACCACACTAGAGGGCGGAAATATATATTGAATTTTTTTCCATGAGGATCCAGGTATGGTAAAGGACAACGCCTATAATTTCGGTGATGATCAGATAATAATATTGGGATGAAATCCTTCTCTGAATTTCAAAACTTATTTTTTATGTTTTATTTATGGCGGTAGGCCACAGTTATATAACATCTTTACACAACCTTGAAGCTGTACAAGTAATTAGAAGTTCTGTACAGACCAAAAACCAAGTTCAAAAATAAGGAAGATCTTCACCGATTGGCTTTATCCTAGTTCATACGATAGCTATTCACTCACAGAGAAACGTGGTAGTTGTGTAGGGTATCTTATGGTCGGCCCCGTTCGACTATACTGCTCCTTTCACTGGTTTAACTATATATTTTTTTTTTCAAGGACAATCAGATACCTTCATTATACCCTACACAACTATGTTGTCAGGGTATTATAGCTTTGTTTTTTAAATATATATTTTTTTCAATGACTATTAAGTGTGTGTGATGTTTTGAAAATATTTGGGAGTCGCAATTAAATCGATTAAGATTTTTATTGTGAACGAAATATATAAATTCCTAAATATATTTCGTTTAGCACGTTTATGGGCTTTTGGCCAAATTTCTTTGCCAATTTAGTTAAAGTTAGCATTAACTGATGCAGTGGACAGGAATGCTCGTGGTATTAGTAGCAACATATATATGTTTTCACAAATATCTATATATATATATACTTTAGATTTTTAATCATTGCTACAATGCGAATAAATAATAGGCCTTAATGTGACAGGCATTTCATTATTTCATTTTTTTCGATTTTTTGGCAAGGCGAAAATTGTGCGAATTTGCCAAATTGTTGATGGCACGTGTTGAAGTTAGAAAGTGTTTTACAATGATAAAATCGAGATAAAATAATTATATACATATGACCAGCTAAAAAATAATAATAATAAAATATGAATTAAAAATAAAAATTGATAAAAAATATTTTTTTTTTGTTTTTTCCAAAAATAATATTTTAAATATTGTAAGGATTGGTTTTTAATATTATACGAACACATTAAATTAAATACAGTTTATATGTTTTTATTTATTTTTATAATATTTTAAATTCACATCATAACATTGATTTGTTGTTATTAGTTATCTTCTTAGAATCATTGGCTGGCTAGTTATACCGTCCGATACCAACCTACAGTGAAAACAAGGTTAATGCCATTTTTTTGTTTTCTTGGTTTTTCTTTCTTACTAAAATAATATTAGAATATCATTCCGTTGTTGTTTTTGTTTTTTTCTTAATTAAACAAATTCTCTAGAAAATAAAAGCATCAACATTCGCACATTCTCACATTTTTGCTCGTCTTCGAGATATCAAAATAAATATCAGCATGATGCCATTACGACAACGCAGACAGACAGCCGGTCTGTCTGGCAGACATTCTTGGTGGCATGTTGTATATATATTATGTGTCTTGTAATAAAATAAAATACTATACATAAAAATAAACTAAAGGCTGTAATAAAACCGAATAAAATATTGAATTTAAAATATAAACAACTAGCTCTCTCTCTAGCTCTACTTCTATATAATCAGCCTCGCACATAATAATTACAGGAGGTATTATTTTGTCTATAGAAAAGTCCTGAATATTTTAAAAATAAAGACTTAAAGACTTCCATAGGCTTGGTTTTTTATATACATTTTATAAATATTTTTCAAGCGCGGTTTTCTTTAAAAATTTTTAAAGACTATATGAGGTGTGGATTTTTTAAAAATATTTTTTCCAGTGTCTTCCTTAGGCGTGGATTTTAAAAACATATTTTAAACACTACGAAAGGCCTGGGTTTTTAAATACCATGAATGACCAGGTTTTTCTTTTAAATATGTCTTTAAAATCATTGAAACATTCTTTTCAAAGTTTTACTAAGGCAAGGTTTTTTAAAAATATATTTAAAAGAAGTAAATATATTTAAAAGAAATATTTTTTTCGAAGACTTCCTTAGGCGCGGATTTTGAACAATATGTTTTTTCAAAGACTCCTTAGGCGCGGATTTTTTTTATACCCTTCACCACACTGTGGTACAGGGTATTATGTCTTTGTGCATATGTTTGTAACAGGCAAAAATAATCGAAATAGACCCATGGTTCCATTTGAGAATAAGCATAGAATCACTTTCTGAGTCGATTTATGCATGTCCGTCCGTCCGTCTGTTGGTGTTAAATTGTAAACAAAGTGCATGTGGCATTTATGTTCCGATTTGGATGAAATTTGGCATAGGTCACTTATTTGGCCCAAGGACGAACCCTATTGACATTGGGCAAAATCGGTTCAGATTTAGATATAGCTCCCATATATATTTTCGTCCGATTTAAGGAAAATGGTGCACCAAAGCTCCTATATATCATTCGAATTGCACGAAATTTGACACAGCGTAATGAATAAGGTCTAGAATGATGTGTGCAAATTTTCGCGAAAATCGGTTCAGATTTAGATATAGCTCCCATATATAGCTTCGCCCGATTTTAGGTAAATAGTCTACTAATGTTCCTGGAAATCTTTTGATTTGCACGAAATTTGGCACAGAGTAATGAATAAGATCGAGAATGATGTGCGCAAAGTTTCCCGAAAATCGGTTCAGATTTACCCAAAGTGGTGAAGGGTATCATATAGTCGGCCCAGTCCGACTTTACTACTTTCCTTACTGGTTTTTTTTTCGAAGACTTCCTTAGGCGCAGATTTTTAACAATATGTTTTTTCAAAGACTTCTTAGTCGTGGATTTTGAAAAATATTTATTTCAAAGACTTCCTTAGGGTGTATTTTTAAAAAAATATTTTTTCAAAGACTTCCTTATGAACGAATTTTGATTTTTTTTTCAAAGTCTTGCCACCCACCGTTAAGTATACCGATTGTCATATCTCGGCTAGCTGAGTCGATCTAGACATGTGTGTCCGTCCGTCTGTCCATTATAATTTGTAAACACGATACAGGCCACAGCTATGGACCAATCTTCACGAAATTTTGCATGTAGGATGGGTTCTGGCCAATGAAGACCCCTATTGTTTTCGGTAAGGATCGGTTAATATTTAGGGGATGAAATGGATCAAAAACTTTATTTTTTTCGGTATATCTGGTCGCTCCAGAGGCTGCAATTATGGGCCATATATCGCGAATTTTAACATGGAGAAGGGGATTGGGCCCATGTATAAGCATGCCTGTGGTAGTTGTGTAGGGTATCATATGGTCGGCCCCGTCCGACTATACTGCTCCGCTCACTGGTTTTTTATTGTGTACAATATTATATTTTCCCTCTTTTCCGCCTCATTCATTTAGTTGGTCATATACATAGGTCCACCTTTAATTCGTGATATTTTGAAATATACATGGCGAACTGCAACAATGACAAGAACTAAAAAAAATGACAAGCATCCATTGTGTACAACACTTTCTGACGGATGGCACACGAACGCATTCAATATTTTTCTTTCGTTTCGTGTTTTTTTCCTTTTTTTGATTTACAATATTCTTGATGTTGGACTTGATGTTGACTAACTTTTTTCTAGATTGTTGTTTACGAAGCGCAACAATGGCGTGTTTACGCGGTCAACAGAAACATTCTAGAGAATAAATAGTAAGAAAAAACGGAAATTTTGACTTTAGTGACGGTTCAAACAGACTGTCATCCACCATAGGCCATTAAAAAGTTGAAGAAGAAAAAAAAACACTAGAAAAAAACATTCTTCGCTAGGGTTGTAATTTAAATTGTGCTGCAAATAAAGTCTTAACAGAGCACAACAAATATTTTACATCACACAGTGAGGAGGGATACAGAGAAGAAGGGGGCTGGCGGTCGGCCTGCCATCACATTCAAGTCCATACATAAACAAATTGATGCAAAAGTGTGTTAGATGGACAAAAAAATGGACAGACGACCGAAGACCCAACGAAATTTTGTCGTAAATCTTGAAATGGTGCTCACATGGTTTTTGTTGGCTTCTTTGTTGGTTGTTGTTGTTGCTTTTTATTGAAGTTGTTGCATAGTTTGTTGCGTGCCAAAAAATGTTGTCCATTTTTATTTATTAGGATTTTCTCTATTTTTTTTCTTCACTGAAGATGTGAGTGAACACATTTAGAAAAATATCTAAAATTAAAAGTTTTGTATTTTGTATTTATAAGGTCTTAAATTTTAATAGCAACGTCATATGTACAGGGTGTGTCGTAATATTGTAGTACCAAATAATTTTCATTTTAGGAATGTATGTTTTGTGTATAATTTTTTTTCTAGAGGCAGAGGGCGATCTTTCTCATGAAACCTAAGGAGTTTTTCAAGGAACAGATGAAGGCCGATGAAGTGTAGTCTATAGACTGAGGAGCTTGGGAAGGTTTACGCAGATATTAGAAGAATTTCTGTAAACCAGTAAATCCTATTTGGAAGGTCTATAGCCTAGGATAGGTCTTTGAAAATATAATTAAAAAATAGACGCCATTGATGATCTTAAAAAAATATAATTTTAAAAAATCCACGCGAATGATGGTCATTCAAAAAAGAATTTTAAAAAATCTACGTATCAGATGGTGTTTGAAAAAATGTTTATAAAAAATACACGTCTATGGAGGTATTTGAAAATATATTTTTAAACCAGTGAGCGGAGCAGTATAGTCGGACGGGCCGACCATACGATACCCTACACAACTACCACGGAACTCTAACTTTCTGCGGATGTTTATGTTTAAGTCTGGGTAATATTTCGTTATATTTGCCCCCTCTTGCCCGATTAGAGGTCAACAGTGCACCTCTTCCTTACATTTTCGAATATTCAGTACAACCCTTCTAATTACTTGGTCAGATTCCCTTCACGGTGGGTTGTGTTGTGATGTTCGGACTAAATTCGACTCGAAAACACACACAAAAAAATTCGGTTTTCGGTCCATTTCATCACAAAATTTCTGATCTGATCATCACCGAATTGTAGGCGTTGTCCTTGACCATAACTGGAAGTTCATGGAAAATTTCAAAGCGATCAGCG